GAAAGAGTATTGCATTCAGGCTTAGCATATTATGTCATTTTACGTTCCTTAGTTGTTTGTTCTGTCAAGTGGACCAGTGTGGTCAGCGTCTGTAACAAGGCTTAAGAGCCAGCACTGTATTGGATCCCACATCTAGACATTTTGCTATCGTAGTAAACTCACCAAGGCACAGGGGTTAACCTCGCCAGCGTCCTCATATCCACGTTCCCTTGCTTGTTCTCACATCGTCGGTGACCAGCGACGGCCAAGGGTGTGACAGGGCATAGGGCACGGTGAGCGGGCGGTGGACGTGCGTGGTGTTGACACCTGTGAAGGCACACAGAGACAAAATTCGCAAGCACACGGGTATCGAAGTAGTTTTCACTCGGAGTATTATCAAGTATCATATCCATAGGGAAACGTGTGTGTGTTGTTTAACAAGTTTGTCTAGAGATGGCAATCAAGGTTTAAGGTATGAGTAGAGAGGATTCTTATGGTTATGACCCTATGCAAAGCAAGGTTTATGATTCTAATGTTCACTTTGGGATGCTGCTTAAACGGTAAAGCGTTGCTAATAGATAACTCTACCGACACGACTACGGTCCTACTAATTTAAGAACCTGCTCAATTCGATGTGGACTACAAAGGATAGATGGGGCTGTCACCTCCCGCTGCTACCACACAACCAGAAAGCAGGGAGCAAACACAGGTAGCGGATAGCCTAAGCACCACGCTTATGCTAATGATTACTACTCGAGTCCAGCTAGCAAGAACTAGAGCACTCAAAATAACTGTGAACTCGTGAACAAAAGAGCACAAAACTTACTTTAAATAGAAATCAATTATCAGAGGTATCTCAGATGTAGACTTAGAGAAGCCTAGATCCACCAAAGTACAAGTCGTAGAGGCAGCACCGATAGGCCGGTACTCCCTCCAAACTCTTCCCTCACTCTCTAGCTTACTAATTCTATTGTAAGACTAGATCCTATAGAGGACTAATCTTCTCTTGAGAGCTGGCTCTGATCCTGATGAGGAGGATATGAATTAGGGTTTTAGGATGGCTCCAGGGAGGGGGCAGGGGCTGGTATATATAAGCTGGAGCATCAATTCTGGATCCTCAGATCAAACCTACTTGAAAGAACGGCGTAGATGCAATCTAGGAGGTGGTGGAGAACCGACATTAGAAGGAGAAGCTGATAGGTGGGCCTAGGGGGCCAGACGGCCCCACATGGCAGTCACCTACCCTCCGTTTCGGTGGTTTGCCTTCTGGAGTCTTCTAGAGTCTTCCCACGTTAGTTTCACAGCGGATAAACGTGATTTGCTTTGACGAATAGGTCCTCCTTGCCAGTTTTCTGGATAAACCCCGCTTGAAACACAGATTGACCAAAACTCGTGGAATTTGTCAGTTTAAACCCCTAAACCTATGTTGGCGATCATTTTCATGTATTTATACAAGTTATATTGACGGTTTATGATTGATGTTAACGACCGTCAAACACGCGGCTGGTGTGAAGGTCGGCATGGCGAAGGGGGCGGCCAGCGCGGCGATGATAGGTCTCCTTTGGAGCGGAGCGGTGCCTCAGCGTGGGACTTCTGGCCCCTCCGGGGAGGCATGGATAGCAACGAGGTGCAGCATAACTGCAGTGTGGCAAGTTGCGATGTCGTGCTCTGCTATGCTTCTACATCATGGCCTCCTCACTAATGCCCCTGTCCAGGACGACAGCGGCTCAATAGGTGAAATCAAACAATTCTGCACAATTTGTTGTCAATTTGTATTTGGGAAAATCAAGCAAGCAAGTGCGGTGGATTTTTGGGTCGAAACAAAATATGAAGTTGGAGTCTCCATTGTCATTAATGATGTGAATGTGTTTATGAGCAGCGCATAGCTGGTCATCGCCGGGAGATAGGCATGCGAGGTAGCCAGCAGTCATGGCCGGAGAGGAACTGTAAGTGATGGAGAAGTGGAGGCCTTGTTCTAGCGAGTGGTATGGTCTAGCACTAGAGATGGTGGCGGCACTCCATTGACGCGACACTGAGCCCCGGTAGCGCTACACCTTCGTCTTGTCCTTAGAGAACAGGAGGAACGCGTCGCCATTGCACTATCTGGCGGCGTCCTGCTGCGTGTAGAGCAGCGTAGCAGCGGCATCGGCAAGCCCTGGGAGCGCGGTGTTGTAGCGTGCAAGGCCGATGCGGGCAAGCCCTGCGGCAAGAGAGCAGTGCAGCGGCGCGATATGGCAGCGCGCGAGGGCAACGCGGGGTGCCGGGCCGGTGTGGGAAGGCAGCAAGGCGTGGCTCCGGAGTGCTGGGGTGGCATAGGAGGGCGATGAGGCTCTGCATTGGAGTTTCAGTCGGCCGGAGCGGTGCGGGATGGCGGCGAGGCACGGCTCCGAAGTGCTGGGACGGCACAGGAGGGCGACGAGGCTCTGCATCGGAGGTCCGGCCAGCTAGGGCGACGCCGGATGACAGCGAGGCGTGGCGCCGGATGATGGTGAGGCGCGGTGCCGTAGTGGTGGCGAGGCGATACGCGGCTCTGGACTCTAAAGTGCCGCGACAGCGAAGCATTTTTAGGTAGCAGTCTCTGACAGATGGCCCCATGGCCTGAGATGAAAGGCAGCCTTTGGAACTGATTTGGACGGCAAGGATGAGGAGAAAGTTACAACGTGACTTTACAGAGGAAAGTCACTGAATCTCTGTCCCGCCGGAGGAAGGGAGTGTCGCCACGCCAGTTCAGTGTTTGCACGGGGAGGAGAACGGCCGAAATGGCCGGATGGGGGCTGGGGGGTGAGCCCCTATTCGCCCGTAAGAATGGGGTCTGTGCGGAGGATTTGGGTGCCCACCTCAAATTGGGGACTCTAGTAGGGGCCCTGCTAAAGTGGTGTTTTTGGCTTGGGCGCCCATATTTAGCTGAGTTGCTCTTGGATCCATGCATTGGAAAGATATAGTTAGCGTATACAAATCAAACTTCTGTATTGTACTCGATATGTCATTTGTGGTCAACATGCAACTGCTGACATGCAACACACCCGTCATCTAGTATCTTAGCATATGTCAAACAAAAACAGTGTTAAAAGAATGGAATGGCTTAAGAGGAAGGTGAATTGGGCTCTATAAAATTTAATGCGGTAGCATAAACCTAGGGGAGAATTACTACCCATAGCATGGTGGCTCCTAAATTTTTAAAAAGGACACGCCAACGAGTCCTTAGGGCCATCACCTTCTAACACGTCCTTAGCAGGAAGACCTAGATCAACATGCTTAGCAAATCTATCATGAGTTTCACACCAGTTTTGATACAATAATGTAAAAAAATAATCGGCTAGATAGAAGGTCATGGTCATAGTAAGAGAAGGATCCTTAAGAGCAGAATCTAAATCTATATATCTTAAGATGCTAATCATACATTAACCAACAATCCTAGTTGTCACACAACAATAGCTCTTGCATAAGCAAGCCAGCCTTGAGTGCTACCATCGTTATTGGTTGGATTTCTTTGAGATGGAGCTGAAGACTTGTTACTCTTGGTGATTGCTATCTCACCTAGATGCTCCGATCGAGGACTTGGTGGCCATCCATGATGTTCTTGTTGAGGAGGCTCCAAATGGTGTATATGGTCTTAAAGGTTGTTGTTCCAGAGTGGAGAATGGACATTCACTAGTAGATGGGAAGTTACCCAAGTCTTGGTGACTGTGGGCGCTGTAACGTGGATTAGAAGGTTGTGGCAACAATCCGATACAACGGGAAAAATCTGGTTGTCTCTTTGCTTTTTTTTTGTCTTGCATTATTTCTTGCCTAGCTTGTTGTGTGTAAGTTCGCTTTGAGTGACAACTAGGATTATAAGTTTCAAATGTGCCTGGCATAGGTTTACTTCTTGAACTTAAAGACATTATTCTTAGTGTCAACCTTGTTAAGGACATGTTTAGTGTATATAGTGGCCCTAAGGCCTCACTAGTGTGCTTTTGTTGTAGTCTTATGTGACACCATGCTAGTGACGGTTTAAATTTTTTTCATAAGCTAAGGTTATTGATTTATTTTTAAAGCCAATTCAATTCTTTCTTGGGTCATTTGGTCCATATGGGTGGCACTATGGTGAGGCCTGCTGGCAGTAGATTAAGGTAGTAATGCCTCCAGAATAGGCTAGACATGGGCCGACAAACAAAGACCTCGGCTAGACATGGGCTGGTCGAAGAATAGGCCCAGGCATCATCCCATTGTTTCTCCTCGTGCATTTCTGTTTTTCTTGCGTGTCCATCCGTGAAGTGAAGTGAGTGCGTGAGGCGACATATCATCGTCTGTCCTGGTCATCCCGGGGGAAAGAAACGAAACTGCGCACGCCCCAACTTGTGGCATGTTAACATCGAAAACTATCGGAGCCAGGAACAAAGGTTGCTCACGCTTTACGTACCATGCCCGCGTACGTGCAGGCAGTCACTTTCGTATCAGTAAACTTGTCATCTTCACAGGCGGCGTTGTGTAGCCGCCGGGAAACTGACATGTAAACTCGTTAGCCATTGCAGATAGACGGCCGACGGCTGGGCTGGAGATGTCTGTGTCTATTTACAGTCTGGGACACCCGGAACTGTAGAAGGCGATGGATGATATTTGCTCGAACTAGTAAACTGACCAGACCGCGAAACGTGAAGACAACTTCTTCTGCACAGTATGACCTATTCAGTATTCACCTCCCTCCCGGCTGGGAACTCACCCCACCGAATCTCCAGTTTATCAGCGGGACTGTCGACTGCAGATGATGATGTGGCCATTTTGCAATTCTCTGACTCAAAGCTGCAGTATACTAAATATTCAAAATTCAAAGTTGATTTGAAACTGGAGGTAGGGAGAACGAATGCCGAAGCCTATACGATTATATCATCACAAAACAACTCACAAAAAGCCTACACGAGCAGGGAGGTAGCAAGAAGAGAAGACGGCCAGGCCACCAAGGAGGGCTGCGAGACTAGCAGCAGGCGTGGAGTTGAATTCCCAATCTAGGTGCTGCAAAATCTTGTCTTGTACTCGACTCGTTAACTGGTGGTGGTGGTGGGCGCAGAGGCGGCAGCGTCGTCGGCCGGCTCCCACGCCGACGCGGTGAGCAGGGAGAGGTCCTTCCAGCCGAGCTTAAGGCACGCGTCCTCCTCGACCAGTGTGTACCCCTTCCATGGGTACATGCCGAGGAGCAGCCTGGCCTGCGTGGCAGGGCTCCCGTGCAGGGACACTGGCCGGAACCCAGCGCGCCGCAGCTCGTCGCCCCACCGCTCCACGCGCACCTCCCCGGTCCGCTTGGGTCCCCCTACGGCCACGATGTTCCGTATCTCCGCGCCCAGGAGCTGCCGCTCGACCGCGTGCCGCTCCGCCGACTCCTCCTCGGCGGCGCCGGCGCCGTCTCCCAGCGCGTCGAACAGCGCCGAGTAGTAGTGCAGCGCCTCCACGAACCGGCCCAGGAAGTCGCCGCTGTGGCCCAGGTCCTGCTCCACGATGGTGATCAGCTTCGGGCGCAGGCTCCGGAGCAGCCGCACCGTGCCCACGTCCGACCCCGTCACGTCGTAGAGGCAGTGGTGCATCCAGTGTACCACGGTGATCTCGTCCTCCCGCTGCTGCTGGTGATGGCGCGAGCCGAAGAGCGCCGCGACGTCGGCGACGTGCCCGATCTTCCCCTCGATGGGGTGGAACTCGAACGGCAGGCCGAGGGAGGCCGCGAAGTCGGCGAGGCGGCGGCCGGTGGCCTCGAGGACGTCGAGCGACGCGCCGAGCCCGGTGATCCGGAGCGAGCGCGGCTTGCGCGGGCGGGAGGCGAGGATGTGGAAGAGCCCCGGCCACTGCAGGCCCTGCATGATGTCCAGGTCGATCACGTGGAGGCAGTCCTCGCCGTCGAGCGCCTGCAGGATGGCCTGGTTGGCCGTGAAGTGCGAGAACTTGACGAGCGGCGACAGCGCGTTGTACGCCTGGAACGCCACCGCCACGCGGCGGCTCTGCGCGGCCGCCAGCGGGCGGAGCGCGAGCGGCGAGTAGGCGCCCAGGTACGAGCTGAGCACGCGCGCGCACAGCGCGTCCCCGAAGTAGGCCGCCACGCGCTCCGGGGACGACCCGAACGGCGACGCCAGCTCCGCGATCTCGGGGAGCAGCTCCCGCGCCTCCGTCAGCTGGTCCATGGCCACCGCCTCCGCGCACCGCAGCAGCAGGCTGAGCAGCCGCAGGCCTCGCGTCTCCGGCCCTTCCTCCGCCGCCGCCGCCGAAGCCAAAGCGGTGGCGGGGCCAAGCGCAAGCAGCTGTTGCCGCTTCCCGCGCGCAGAACGGCCGTCCCCTTCCTCCTCTTCGCCGGGGGACGCGGCCGCCCGCTTGGCCTTCATCGCTGCCGCTGCCGCCGCGTCGGTGGCGGGCGCGCGGGACAGCACCCCCTGGAGCATCGCGTCGTCGCCAATAATTTCGTTTCGGGCAAGGCGTCAGACACTCGGTGATCACTGAACCCGTGGCAAGGCAAGCGAAGCGGGAGGGGACGGCTCAGCTGATAACGCTGGTGACTGGGGCCTGGGGGGCAGCACGGGGTCTCGCCGTTGGCTTCGCGGGTCCGGTGCGTGAGAGTGAGTGAGTGAGACCGAGGAGGGGTGCCAGGGCGGCCGTCTGGTTGTCTGCTTGCAGGCAGTTGCTGGCGCGGCCAGGCAGGGGGAATCAAAGGACGTGAGCCGCGACAAGGCGACCGGTCGTCTCCATCTCCGTCCCTATCCGATCCCCGGGCAAGGACGGGAAAGGCTTGGGTTTTCTTGAATGAAAATCACGGGTAGGCGGGATGGGGAGGGATGTGCGTGCGTGTGCGGGCGGCGGTGCCGACGGGGGTTGGTCCGGCTGGGATTGATTGGTAAAGACTGTGATCATTCCGGCAGCGTTCCGTTACGGGGAAACAATGGCTCCGTTCGCTGGGCTTATAAGCCGTATTTTTTCAGCTAATAAATAGTATTTTTCTCTCACAATAAATCAGTCAACAATACTTTCAGCCATGTCTTATCAGCCAAGTCAAACAGGACAAATATGCCATGGAACTGTTTCTACCAGGAATGGTAGTCAAATTTATATAACCGTGAATGAGTGGAACGATTCCTGGCCAGGAATCTTCCTAACCGAATGGGCCCTCCATGGGGGACGACCGGCGGGCGAGACAGGACGCGGGACAAAGGCTTCCCTCGGATACCGGTGCCTCGGTGGGACGTTTGACGTTTCTGGTTAAGAACAGCACTGCCGGTATAGATGGCCAATGGGCCGGCCCGACACGCCACGGCCCCATCAAAAGCACGGCCCGCCGCTAACGGGCTAGGCACGGCACGCGGGGCCACCGGGGTCAGTGTTTAAAAGACCACAGGCCTAGCCGACGGCTAAGCGCACTTCTTTGAGCCGTTTTCATTTGGCCACGGCCACCAAAAGCACGACCACTCTAGCGTGTCGGGCGGCCCGAGGCCCACGAGAGAGGAAGGGAGGGAGAGAGGAGGCAGGCAGGGCGGCGGCGGCCGCCGGCCAGGCCGCCCCTGAGGCGAGATCCGGTCATGGAGGAAGATGGCAGCATGAGAGGGAGAGGGCTGCACATGGAGGAGAGACAATGGCATGCGCCGCCCCCAGAGGCAGATCCGGTCGCCAGCGCGCTCGCCCTGGAGGTGGGGCCGCACAGGGAGGCATGGAGGAGGCGGGCGCCGGCGCACTTGAGGGTGAGCTCGTTGAGGTGGGGGAAATAGACCTCGCCGCCACCGGTTCCGTCCTTGGGGAGGCGACACAGGTGAGCTCCAGCGGTGAGGGGCCGGAAGGAGAGGAATGAAGGATGGAGGCGAAGAGTCTCGTCGGAAGGGTGCCGGAGGACAAGTTCTAGGAGGTTTTGGCGGCGAGGGAGCGGATCCAGAGTCAAGTCTCGAGGCGAGAGGGAAAGCGATGAGGAGATGGAACCTCACGGCGTTGCTGCATGGTGGGAGGCGAGGATCCGGGACACGGCAATGGAGAGAGGAGGAGGCGGGGGACGGGGAGGTGGGAGTCGAGAAGGTGGAGTGATGCGGAGGGCATACAGGCGGCGGCGCAATGAGTGGGATAGGACTTGGGTGCGCGCTCGGCGGGGGGGGAGGGAGGAGGGAGAGGATGGTGGTGGTAGCCGGGTAGGATTTAGGGTAGCCGGGGTAGATTTAGGGTTGGGGGGGGAGGCGGGGAGGCGGCCGAAGCGGGAGTCGGGGAGTCCCCGCTATATACGCCATCTTGTGGGGGGCAGGCCGTGGGGCCCACGTGCCTAGGGTAAGGCCAGCCTGCCTACTCCTCCGGGACGGGCCAAACTGGGCCCGCTAGTCACCGGGCCGGCCCGGGCCAAAAAAAGGGCCTTGGACCGGGCCGCCAGGCTCGGGCTGCATGGCCAACTATGAGTGCCGGATGCCGGTGACCTTGCATCGACGGCACGCTGGCACGCTGCACGGCGGCCCGGGTGTGGGGCGCTGCCTATAGCGTGCAAGTGTTGATCGGCGGACTGCAAGGAGGAGTTCGTCGCAAATTTGATCCTGTGCTCATCTGCCCCGGCGGGCATCTTAGATACCGTTCGTTTGCCACACTACACATGACCCATCTGTTTTTGAGACTCACATGACACATCTGTTATCTGGGAAAAAAATTGGTAGGGATTGTCCTCACCAAAACACGGTGCGGATGTGGAGCTGGACGTGATCTCAGAAGACACCACTTGGCGCAGCTTGAATCAACTGAGGGGAAGAACTCGTTCATCGTGGGCCTATCCGTAAATAACTCTTTTTTTGGAAGGAACGATCCGTAAATAACTGGGCTTAACTAGGAACTTTCATGGACCGATCCAATAATTTTTGGGCCTCTAAGAAACCATTGTTGGATTAGAATCAGCCTAACGGCAGAAACCGATGGCGAATTTTCGAGCGTCCAGGTGCTCCAGGAGACCACGAACCGACAGAAGGGGAAAGAGATCACACGCCGGCCGCCGATCTCCCACCACCACCAGACTCCATGACCGGCGGCAGCGGCGGGCGAGGAGAACACGAGTCCGACCGAGACGCATCGACGGCTTTGTCCGTCCCGGGGCCCTGCGCCTCGACGCACCGCGCGCTCGTCGAGTGCCACCGCCGCGCCGCCCGCGGGCCGTTGCGGCCGGAGGTGCTGTGCCGGCACCTGAACCGCGCACTGGCGGAGTGCGTCGTGACCGCGTGCTGCCCCGACGAGACCGACGCCGTCCGCACCCTCTGCGGCAGCGCCGGCACCGCGCTCAAGCGTGAGCAGTGCCAGCGGGCGCGCATCGACCTCGCCCTCTGCCTCGAGGCGCATCAAGAGCCCTAATCTGTTATCCCTGTGAGGAATCTCTTCCGGTACAGTCGTGCTCGTCTAGCGATTTTCTTTGATGCCACACGTCTTCGTTCTACTATGTGTAATTCTCTTATATTATCTTGTTATGGAACATTGGAGCCCCAACCAATTGTGTGTAAAAGTGCACATTGGGGATTAGTAATGAAGGTAACATTGGCGAAATAGCAGGAATGAGCTCTGAAAAAAATGCAGATGTTTTGTCATTTGCTTGGCTTGGATGCGAAATTCATGCTCTGATCACAAGTTTCCAGTTGTGTTATTGGGAAAAAGATCATGAATTACAATTTGCTTGCTGTTGATTTGACAGTGTAGAGTGTAGAGTGTAGAGCAACTTCAAGCAAAGCTTGCCTGCCCTAGCTGATACTTGCACTTGAATTACTCCCTCCGTTTTTAAATATATGACGATGAACGCTGAGCTAATTAGCCTGTTCAAAACGTTATATATTTCAAAACGGAGCGAGTATTTGGGATTTGTTGTGTGGACTTCGATATTCTAAATGCCTAGAAAATAGGCAGCCATTGAAACTATTGAAACATTGAAAAGGGATGTTGCTTATGCTACTCTGAAACTGTTGTAAGGACAATTCTGAGACAGCGCATAGCGAAAAGGAGATGTTCATGTACCAATGGGATACCATTATTGTTAACTGTAATAATAATCTGTGAGTTCAAAAAAAGCATTAGCTATGAGTGCCGTGTCTCTACTTGTCACGGCTGTAGGCTTGGTAGTGGAGGCTTCATCTGTCATATGACTCATCAGAGCTGAAGGCTTCATCCATTAGCAAGTGGAGAAGTCTGACGCGAGTGCAGCTGACGAGCAATTGAGGCAACAAACACTGCAGTAGCATAAACGGGCGAGCCGCGAGTTTCCTTTTGCTATGCAGGATCAAATTGATGTAACTCACACTATCCTTTTGCGCGTCCTTGTATTAAGATAGAGAAAATGTTTGTTACAGCACGCCTTAGCGGCGCCCTAGAGTCAATAAGTTTTACATGAACGCTCAGACCCCCAAGTGTACTGAAAGCTATGTTGTTACATTGGACACTAATCAACCTAAACTACGACGCCGGCTAGGAGACCTATGCCCGACCTGCCGAACGGCGGCGACGCCGCTTGCGCGCACCCACATCATCGTCCGGTGGGAACAACTTGCGTAGCGTCTGCATATTACCGGGGTCTCCGCTGTAAACTTCATCGTACGCCTTTAGGGCCGACGTCGAAGGAGACACCATCCCGCTGGTTAGCTCTAGGCACTTCAAGACAAGATGCTTGCCTCGCTTGGACGCTGGGATATGTGATATGCTCTGCGCCGCTATCCGCCTGCTTCTCTTGGGGAGCGTGGGCGGCGTACGTCCGCCGTGGGCCGTGTCAACTCCGGGTAGCTCCAGGAGTGGGGGTTGCCTCGCCTTTGTGATTCGCTCGGTGAAGCACTTGAGGCGTTTGTCAGCAGAGGTCATCTCAGGGGGTGGAGTGCCGTCGACGGCGTCCGTGGCAGCCATGACCGCCGCGTCTCCCGAGGTGGCTGCCCCGACCAGCGCTGGGTCACGGCGTGCCTCGACATCCATATGGTCGGGCTGTACCCCCCGGCGGCGTGACCGGTGGTGGCCCCTGCATAGGGGATAACGGAGTTGTCCGTTGGCCCAAGTCCAGTCTTCGCCGGAGAACGCGTGTCCACCAGCGATGTGTTCGCCTCCTGAGAGGCCGCCACCTGAGTAGGCGAGCACCCAGGCACTAGTGCTCTTGCTGTGGGGGGGGGCGCGACGAGCGAGGCCGCGAGCTCCTCCAGCATTGGGTCGATCCATGCAGGAGGCCCCGCGCATGCGCACATGTCCGACGCAAGCGGATCTGGCTCGGGGAAAAAGCGTGCAGCCGCTGCGGCGGCGGTGTGGACGTTGTCGTCGTAGTCGGCCGGCGCGCCCAAGCTAACGCTCGCCGGCTTAGTCAGTTGCCACCTTTGTCTTCGGGTTCCGTTGGAGCCCCCCATGGCACCCTGCACGGACACCTCCGAGGTCGGTGGACCACAGGCCACGTGCTGGGAGGCCAGTGGGTTGCCACCACAAGCTCAATGTCGCAGTCGGTCGCTACCCTTCGCCACCGACGTCGCAGGATGCCTTGGCCGCTTGCAGTCCTTTTTGAGGTGACAAAATTTGTGGCAGCGCAGGCAACGCCGTGGCAACTGGCATGTCGCTACTCGGTGCGAGTAGGAAAGACAGTTCAAGCATATGTCATGAAGCTCTGCGAGGATCCTCCTAGCGTGCTGAAGCTGCTTCGTGCCACAGCGAGGCTCTGCCAAGTCGGCCGCCGGTCGCGTGTCCTGGCGGTGGAGGATGTCCCGCCACCCATCGACGTCGGGGGCGCGAGACCCGTGTTGGTATTTATTAACTTATCACTTGTTTTAATAGCCACCTATTAATTACCTACATCTCTAACATTACTTTACTAGGTTGTCATCCCTAGTGATGGTGCCAGAGATGCTTGTTGGTGCTGCCTAGCATCAATACTAGAATGATACTAAATAGTTCTTTATTATCTTATGTGACTAGAAAGAATATATAGATATAAATAAAAAAGGATCAGCAAGCACAGATAATATACCATTGTAGCACTTCACCTGAGAGTATTCCAGGTATCGTTATTTATAATTTTTACCACAGAAAATGTCTAGCATGAACAAGTATTGATAACTTATACTATTGATGGAGAAGTAAATCATAACCAATATTCTACTCATAACAGGGGTAAGTCATAGGATAAGATATATATGATAAGTATTGATCAATGATTATGATAAATCACTCAGAGTACTTCTTTCTATGGCATTAGTATGGTCAGGTAGAATATTAGAGAAATAATTCCTAAGTCATCATTAATTATAAGTCAAAGCATACATTGATTAGTGCAATTACACCTAGTAATCATGGCTAAGATCATCTTCATATCTACACACAAGGGATATTACTAAGGGAGATTAAGAACAGAGCTTGTCCTCCTTTGTAATCAGATCCTACGTGCTACCTATATCGGGGAGTGGACTACAAAAGACTCAACGGGAGTGTCACATCCGTGATCTACCACATGACCCAAGATATAAGGTGCATTCGTAGATAAACAATGTATAAGCACCACGCTTACACAATGTCGACCACCCACCCATGGTACCTTAGAGTGAGTGCTATACGAATATATATATGAATATGATGATAATCCAATTATACTAAGCATATAATCAAAGTAGACGATGAACATTATAACGAAGAACATGAATAAGATGAATACTAATATTGTCATAATAATTGTAGCAAGCATATAAAAATAATAAGATACAAAAGAGAGAGGGTACAAAGATTATACCGAACCACGCTCTTGACACGATCTAGAATCAAAGCGAAGCCTGCTTGCCTCCCTCTAGATCTAGCCTAACTAGCTATGCCCTAAAATATGCTGGAGCTCTGAGGATGATTAGGGTTTCTGTCTTCTCAAATGACTTGATGACTAGAGTTATGCCTAGGGGGAGAGGCAGTGGCTGGATTATATAGCCCTGAGGGTCTAACATGAGCCCTTGGATCAAACCGACTTAAGCAACGGCTTAGATGCATTCTCAAAGGCGGTGGGAGACCGACATACGAAGCTAACTGACAGGTGGGCCTAGGGGGGCCGGGTGGCCCCACCAAGAGGTCGGCGGCCCCACCTGACAGGGGGTGGCCCTTCGCTTCATTGACATGGCTTCTAGACGCTTCTAGAGTCTTCCCACGTAGGTACCGCGACGGAACTCCGTATTTTTCTTCGACGATTAGGTCCTCTTTGGCTGTTTTCTGATTAAACCCTGCTGGAAGCATAGATTCACCAAAACTTGTAGAATTTATTAGTTTAAACACCTAGACCTTTGTTGGTGATCTCAATTGTGCCCTTATGCATGTTTTATTGACAATTTATAATGGTTGTTAACTACCGTCAACAAACTCCCCCAAGCTTAACCTTTGCTAGTCTCTTAGCAAAGCTAAACTCAGTAAATGAATCAAGAGTTGCATCAATGCTTTCACTCATCAAAAGTACACATGCGTTCAAACAAGAATTCTCCTCCGGATTAGAATAAACCGATCTGACTTTCAAACTTATCCATATTACCTTCAACCATAGGGCTCCTTAGCCTTCACTTGGGTCTTGAGCAATTGAAAGACAGAACGATCAAGTCAAGTACTATGTCTCAAGTTATTCGCTCAACCATTATTCTAGTTTTTATAGGTTTTAAAATAAAACTCAGAGCTTTCATTGTACGACACTCTCAAGTCTTTTAATATATGTGGTATTTGTGGATCCTCACCAAGACAATAATAATGTTATGCCTTTCTCTTCCTACAACTAAGGCTTATATGGAGCTCATAGGAGTGGAAAAAACATGAAAGAGCATACTTACAATACATATATTGTAAAGTCAAACCTCGGATCCAAAAAGAGTTAAGTCATACAATCAAATCAAGATATGCATGTGTGTGGATGTATATGGTGGCTAACCTAATTCTACTATGCTCTTTGAAAACACATCTTTCTTTTAAAACTTGGTAACAACTTTGCAAGAAAACATGGGCTATCTTATTCATCTTTTTTCTTTTCAGGCAGGCATCTGAGTATCCATTGTTTTAAATATCTCGGACACTCATCCATTTTTTCAATACTTTTTCTTTCTCTCATTTTTTATTAATAACTTTTGCATAGCCACATGGTTCTTTTATGCAACAAAATTTTTGAGAGATAACAACAAGAATTTGGAGCATTTATTTGGTGGATATCCTATAGGGTATATTTTTGGTGTTCACTTTCAGTGTAAGAGTAAAACATTTTTAGGTGGATCTAGATGTAATGGCATGTTGTTGCGCCTACCCCCAGTGTAGGAGTAGTACATATGTAGGTAGTGTGTACGTGATCTTGATTTTAAGAGCATGATAAACCTCTAATAAGGGTCAACAAAGCTTGA